CAGCTTTCAGCCCACATTCCCCTCACTTTTAGTTCCAAATTTAAGAGTGAAGTGAGAAAGACAACAGCACTTATTTCCAGAAAAATTAAAAAGAAAATTAATAATAAAAAGTTAAAAGAATTCCTCATACAATTTCAGAAGAAATAACTAAACATGGCCAACTCTAATTTAAGACACGGAACAGAACGAAAAGGAAGATCTGTAATTTTAGAAAGAGAGATTTTCAATTTGCAAAGCAAGAATCCTTGTGGAACTCCACTGTGCGGAAGGATGAGAGGGTCCATTAGAAACCTCAAAGGCGTCGCAAAAATCATCCACAACCGCACAACTGCAAAAATAAAATTCGACCAGAACCGAAAACCGCATGCAAAACAGTCAAAACCGATAAATGTCCACATCCCAGTTCGAAACCCTAATCGATCCGTTACGGTGTTGACAGGTGGAGCACACAGAGGTTTTGCGGCTATTCGAGATCAGTACAGGAGCATAGTGGCCACTTGGATCGAAGAGAAAACGGAATCCAAATGGGACAATCCGAAAACTCCATTGGAAACCAAATCCGTAGCCCATTATACAGGTATTTTTGACGAAAAATAAATGCTAAAGAACGGAAAATCCGCAAACCGCAATGAACATCCAATCCGAAAAACCGAAATTCTTTAGCACAAAAACCGATCTTAAAAAGATATCGAACATCCCAATGCCCCACTTAAGGATGAATCGGTCAGTTCGGCCCACAAATTATAAAAAATGATAACAGAAAAACCATTACTATTACTGAAACTTCAACGAAAACTTTATTTTAATTTTCCAATCAGAAACATGCTGCAAACCAACTTAGTCACGCGATATTATTAAGGGAGATGTCATGTCACGCAATCGAATTATTCATCGACTACGAACATCGATGCTTGACACTTTGGAAATTGTCTCACGGAATCATTTTTTTCAAATTTTACATTTGCATTTTATGGCTAAATGGCGCAGTCCTTCCTTTAAATATAGAAGAGGATTTGATCTCTTCGCGAACATAGTGAAGATTCAGCAAAGAACACCAAGGAGATGTTCATATTTTCGGTTCGTTTCGTTTCGTTTATCAAATCTCAGTAAGCCCGAAAAAATTCCGGAGATATGGTCGAATCTAGTTTTAAAATAGAGAATAAATGCATTGTATGACATCAGATCTTTGACAGACAGGCGCAAAGAACAGTGTTACGAACGTCAACTCTTTGACTCAATTGTATCCAATTCTGCACATAAACTCCATCATCTGCTACCACTCAAGCAGATACAATTTAGAAACCAGTGTAATTTTAAGTTTAGGAAAATGCGCACTAATCGTAACACGACCACATTTATTCCATTCAAGTCCAATCGGTAGAACTTTTATACGTAGTTTTTTTTTTCCTCTTTACTATAGAGTCAATTTATATTACATGAAATTGTTTTTGAATGACAGCGTATAAAACTTAAATTCAAATAACTTTTTGCAAATTTCATGCTGCGAATTTAATATCTTTCAATAAACAAACGATATACCTCGAGGAGACGACAGCACAACAAAACAACCAAATCGCAGAACGAGCGGGCGCGAAGCTAAAGCGCATTCATTCATGAAAATATTGACATCCACAACAGAGTACGTACCCCTGAGAAGTGTTCTCCGCGGATCTATTTGCCGTTTTCAAAGCAATCTATCGGCGCAACTGCATGTGGTTCAACCTCCATCGTCTGACAGCTCCTTTAACTTGGTTCCGTGAATTCGAATTAAATCATGGTTATCTCATAACCTATCGTCTTTCTCGGAAAATTAGCGGAAGAGAAATAACATGAGCTTGGAAGCTAGCTAAGTTGGTGACCGCTGACTGAAGTACGGGAGATTTTCAAAGATAGCGCGAAATGTCGGAGAGTGATGTGAACACATCAATATACTAAAGTGGTTTGTTAGTCGTTTTCGTTCTCAGTGATAGTCTTTTAACCGGTGTTCCAATTATAATTACATATTTTTCTACAGGATATTCGATCGTTCTTTAGCCCTACTGGAAAGACAGCGAAGCAAGGCGCTTCGAAAGTAGAAAACAAGCGCGGCAAGGATTCTATTGCGAAGTCATTAACAAAACAAGATGTAGGAAAGAGCCGAACGAAAACCAAGGTAAGTAATAGATTATGTAGCACTTGAGAGAGAGAGTTATATGTAGACACCTTATTTCTCCAAAATTTGTATTTATTGCCACACATGGTAAAATTTCCTTTGTCATGAGTCTTTAATTTTGCACATGGAAGGTAATTTTACAACATGTTTTAACTAAGAGTTTCATTCCACTACATATATCTAACCCAAGGTATCTTTTTGGACTGGAATGTGAGAAATGGTATGGTACTGTGTGTTAACTAACTTTGTAGGTGTAATTTTCAATAGTTTGTCTGAGTATGTCAGGGTAGCTGAGTGAGGCTGATATTTTGCCTTTTTCTTTTTTATCCTAAACAGGGTTGTAAAATGATGCAATTTTGTATTCATCCTTTAACTCCTAAGATCTGTTTGCTAATTCTCCCTTCTAGTTGCTTCACATTTCCTGGTACAATGACATTTGCTATAGGAATTTGTTCTTAGATCAAGATAAAAACTTTTTTCATAAACTTTTTTTTTGACATTGTATGGATAGTCTAGGGAGAAGTTACATGTTAATCACATTTATTTACATTTATAAATTTACAGTTGTAGTTAAACGTTTGGACCCTAATATCACCCCTGAATCAAGAGTCAAGGAAATGATCACCAACTATAAAAGCTCTTGATTATTAAACAAATTCTCCTTGTCAGCAGCTTAGAAAATGTGTAGATACCAGTATGGAGAATATGCATACTGATATCAGGGTGTATTCAGTACCTGGTTCTCTTTCATGCACTTTCAGAAAAGCCACATCAGTAAAGAAGGAAGAGAGTTCAAAAGCTAAGAAAAATAGAAGAGCAACCAGCTTGAACTCAGGTAAGGAAATGATGTGCACTCATTGAGGGTACCCTATACTTTTTATGTGAAGGGTGATTGGGAGATTTTATCTTCACAGGAATCATGATAACATCTTTTTTAAAATTTTTTTAAAAATTTTATAGGATTAACAGCTTTATTAACAGGTCAGAAAGTGTGAAAATATGAATTTGGTATAATTTTTTAATTTTTTTAGTTTTATTTATCTTCAAAATGTGATCATCTTGAATTTCGTGTGAATGTGAACAAATTTTGGATATTGATTTTTTCGTAATGCATGAAAAGGCCCCATATTTTTATGTGACTGAGTTCTACAAAAGGGTTTCAGGGACTCTCCTTAGTGATGGAGTGTGATGACTGGATAGGGAAAATGCTTTGTGTGAGGTGAGCTTGAGGTAAGATGGGTTCAGTTTTTTTACATCACCTGACCTTGCTGAAGAAAACAAAGCCATTCGCTTCATCCAGGGTTCAGCACACTTAACATTAGACCACTCTGCCTTGAATACATGTAGGTTTGAATATTATAGCACTTGAGTTATATTTTGATGTGGTTTCTACAGATGAGGAAGAAGTTGTGCCAAGCAAATTAAAAAAGTTTGCCAAACAGACAGAAAATGTCCAGCAAGTTAAAGAGAGGTATCCTCCATTATTCTCTTTCATTATATTTCACATTTCAGCACCAAACTATGGTATTCATTTAGAACATAAGATATCTGGCTTCTAAAATTATCCACCTAAATTTCATTTATCTGTTTGTTTGTTTGATCTTTCCTCTCTCCCATCAGGCATTGAGAATGTTAGATCTGTCATAGGACACTGCTCTTATGCTGACACATTCACATGTAACCTGTTGACTCCTAACAGTGACCAGCATCTAATTTCTCCTTACAATATCATCCCTGAATCAAACATTAAGGTCATGAGAGTGAAGGAAATGATCACCAACTAAGCTCTGGTTTGTTAAACAAAAATTAATTCTCCTTGTCAGCACCTTAGGAAATGTACAGAGAACTGTATGGAGAATATGCATACTGAGTTTTAGGTGTTAAGGGTTAAAAATGAAAAACAAACAAACAACAGTGAAATGATAAAGACAGTGTTACACAGCCATCAAAAGTGAAGATAACATATAGTTGTTGTGGTACTGAAATATTTAACACATGAATTGTTATTCTTGCTTCAGTCCAGTCAAACCTAAAGAGAAAAAAACCAACTTCTGCTCTTGATTTCTTTGGTTCTACTCCAGTTGAAAGGGAATCCAGGAAAACATTTGCCAATAAGAGAAAACAGGTGAATAACTAACTACACTTATTTCACCAACAATTTTTTTTACAGTAAAAATCAGGCATCCTGTGTATTTTAAACAGTACTTCACACATTGTGCATTATTTGAACAGGGAAAACTTTAAACCTCACCAGACCTTGCCTTTCTATAAAATTCATGCATCACATGTTAATTTTGGGCCCAGTCACACATCCCTTGTAAACCCTCTGCCAATCTCTTATTCAGTAGTTATATCAGGATGTACAACAGTTAACACATACCATGTCACAAAATTAATGGGTATAATGACCAGTGTTTGAGTCATGCATTATGTAATCATATTACAGGAATTTTGGGGGGGGGGAGAGGAAAATAGTTTTGGCAAAAGCAACACCATGGGGCTCTTTAAAGGGATAAGTCCTTTCACCTCTAAGATATTAAAATCAACTCTCTTTACTGTCCTCACACAAGTGTTATGACAATATCTTAGAGAATATGGTGTTCAATCAATTGATATCCTCTTGTCTGATGATTTTCTTATTACATTGCTGTTTGACAGTGAATTAGTATTGTTAAGAGACATTAGAAAATTGATCACTCTTGAGAGGTTAAATTTTAAGCCTGATCCAGAGCTCAGCCCACTTAATGGTTATACCTTGATTCCCTGTAGAACCATCAAGAATTATTTTTTGTTTTCATTTCCAATAGAGATTTGATGAGTCTGAAGGAAATGAAGACTCCAAAGTGAATAGAAAAGAAGAGTAAAAAAATGGGAGAGAAAAAGAAGGAAGAGAAAATGGGAATGTCAACCATCACACAACAGAGCAACCATCAAAGAAAAGAAAGGAAGACTTCTCAGAATTAAAGTCTGAGGTTAAAAAGCCTTCCCCTGAGAAGAAAAAGGTTTGTAAGCCTTTTTATTACCATACTTTATTGTTGCAAAATTAATCATTACTATTAATGCATAAACCTGCTACCCTGATACTAGAATGGATTGGACCTGATATGATTGCATGTGTTTGGTAAGTGTTAATCAAGCACTTGAATAAGGTACTTGTAGATGAAACAGTGATATTTTATGACTAAATTTGGCTCTGTATGAGATCCAAAAACTTACTCAAACATGTTAACTGGTGGTACATGTGCACGTTGTATATACATTAACCTGTCCTACTATGACAGTTGATGGTTTTAACTCAGATGCACATTACTAACAATAATTGCAACAAAAAATTACTTACAATACTAACACTTCTCAAAATACTACAATTACTGTACCTAGAATTTATACTAAAAACAGTAACAATAGTCACAAAACTTTCAGGTACATTCTTGGTGACTTTAACTTTGACATTCTGGGAAGATGCTGCCTCTTTGTCTCCACTATTTAAAACAGCAGTGTCTTTCACCATCAACGTTCCTATTTGGGACAACTCTTGCCTAAACCAGACAACTCTCAGTCGTTAGAATGTTTGATATACATGCAACTTTTGTCACTTCAAACTTTATCCATGGACATTTCAGGAAGTACCAAAGACAACTCCTGCTAGCAAACTGGCTACCAAAGCTGCCACAGTTCCAGAAACTCCAGTTAGAGACTCAAAACCAAGTCCAAAGAAAACTGTTACTCCAAAAAAGGATGAAAAAAGATGTCTGTGAGGAAACTCCAATCAAAGGAACACTAAAGGTGTCAAAATCAGAGAAAGTGGTTGAAGTTCCACCCTCATTGGAAAAGAAAAAATCAGGCTACCATAGTTTTATGGCAAGAGATGGTCCTAGGACACTTGGTTCAAAGGAAATCCTTCAGGTAGGTTTCAAAGTCCAAGATCTGATTGTTAATTCTCCCCTCTTGCTGTGAGATGTTTTCCTGTAAATTAATAATGAGAATTTCTTATTACATCATTATTAAAAGGTTTATTTTCAAGCTTCATTTCTACCAATTCCCTCACATTCAAGAACCAATCATTGAAGCACCTAGCATGACCATATTGGGAAGTGTCAATCACACAATTATAACAACTACATGTACCTGATAAGTTTTAGTGTTCGCAGCACCTGTTTGCTGATAATGTATGGATATTCTAGGGAGAATTTACATGTTAATTAATTCTGGTAGTTAAATTATTGTCTCTCAAAGCTCTTCGTGGTTTGGTTCCATCCTTTCAAATGAACTTTTAATGAAAGATGCAAGACAAAGGGAAATGAAGATTATTAGAATTAAGGCTGGTTTGGAAAATCTGCAGATACAGTTTACAGAAAACAAAAATTGCAAAATGTATGCTCTGATTGAGCCTTTTACTCTCAAGATCTCTATAGTAATTCTCCTAACTGTCTGCTGTACAATTCTTGAGACATTGGTTGAGAGAATTTGGTCTTAGATCAACTAATGATCCCAAGATTGATCACTCATGGGAGTTAAAGGTTTAAAAAAATTATATTTTATCCTTTTACTCTCAGTTGTTTTACAAATGTTGGATCAATATCAGTATCTAAGAAACTGCACACCTACCCCTCCCTTTATCCAACATTAACTGTAATCAGTTGCCTGTTGTTGGGTTAGGGGAGGGGTAGGTGAGCAGATGTTTAGATACTGACATTGATCCTAAATGTTTATGGTGTATCCTCAGAGGTTTTCTACTTTTTTGCTATCTATAACTTTTCAGTTTGGACAGTATTAACAGGTCTTCAAGGGAAGAATTAATTATTTGTCTGCACCTTCTAATCATGCTTTCACTTGATAATTTAATTTTTAGAGAGCGGAAAACTGTTCGGATGAACTGACAGTTGTTATTAAGGGAATCTTGGAAAGTATTGAGAGAGTCAGGAGGCTGCTGATTTGATTCAAAGATATGGTGGAAAAGTTACCCAATCAGTGAGCAAGAAAACAAGTTATGTCATCATGGGACAGGATCCTGGGGAGAGCAAACTTTCTAAGGTACACTGTAATGCACAGTTCAAAACAGGAAAATAAAGGAAAAAAGCACCATGAACACCAACATATCAGCTGCACCTTTTTCCCTAAATTTTTATAACAATTCAGAGGTACAGCTTACTGCGAAGTCACTAGGGAAACTTGCCAAAATTTGCTTAAATTAACACAATTCATTGATGATAACTGAATCTCGGGAGCAACTGCAATAATTATTTCAGAGTGCATGCGTGTTCGTAAAACGCGACTGTTAAATGTTCATAAAACGCGACTGGTAAATGATCGCAAAACGCGACTGTTAAATGTTCGTAAAACGCGACTGGTAAATGTTCGTAAATGATCGTAGGTTAGATAGACGAAAAGTTTAACATTCGACCCGGTGTTTGCAAAAAAAAAAAAAAAAAAGGTTGGTCAATTGGTGTACTTTTCCCTTAGTCATCGCAAGTTAAAACTCCATTCCTATTCATAATAGTTGATTTTCAGAATGAGCTGAGGGTTAAAATGACGTTTACTCACAGAAACATAATTAAAACCCTTACAATTAAATAATTTTTATGTATTAAAATTCAGCAACGGAACTCCTTAGAGCCACTTGGAGATTCTTTTTTGATCAATGCTTAAATTAAAAATTCTGACATTGGGCTTTAAATAACATCAGATTCATTCTCTTACCTGTCATGTTTAATGGATCACTCCGAAATTCTACGAACATCACCGTCAATGATGTTATTTTACGCCTCATGTTCCTCATTCCAGGGTCATGTACTATGAATTCCAGCTTAAAGGTTCTCTGAAAGACTTCGGATGAGGCGTTACTCAGATATTGCGGTACCCAAACCGTTACAGCTTTCAAATTATTGTTCAATTATTAACACTCAGCCTAGATGACTGCTGACTGCTGGCCAAGTTCGACGTCATGGACAATTAAAACATGTTGATCTTTTAAATTATTCTTCTTTATCCCCGATAGCAAACTTTACACTTATCTCATTCCTATTCTTGTACAAAAAAAAAATATATGTGTTCCTGAGGTAAAACAGGTTCCGGAGGTTCCGGAGGCTACGCGGCCTGCTGATCTATAGTTAAGTAACACCCCAGAATATGCAAAAAACATCACAAAGTTTTGGACACCACCCTTTCAGGATTCAAATTGAGGTTTTATTTGAGCAGAAAGATTTGATACCCGATTGATTCGCTTAAAGAAACATCGTCCGTTTCGAATTGTTGCGTCTCAGTCGGTTTAAGATTACATCGAACTAAAACGAAACTTCTTTTCTAGATAGCGAAATGTTACATCCTTATCACTGATTTAGAGTTTGGTTTCAATGCGAAGGTCTACCGTATCCAAGAAACCTTTTCCACATGTAATGGGTTTTGTTCAGCTGGTTAGTATATTGCGGAGATGGTGCATTTTTAAACTTCTCCGTCATCTCCCTTGAGAAAGGTAATAAAAGTCGGGGGTAGGTGTTAAACTGCTTGCAGGAAATAAAATGCATTAGTACCAGTCTAACTCGAAACCTAATGAACTTTTTCATTCTTTCACATGTTATTCTTGACATAATAATCAATTTATTTGCTTATTTTCTCTTCTACAGTCATCCTTCATTTGATGATGGAATTGCCAGGAGCAGGTGAGGCAGTTTAAAAAAAAGATAATATCTGACTGATTTATCATAATAATTGGTCATAGACTTCTGTTGGAATTACATCGGATTGTGATTCAAAACGAAAGTTGGAAAGCGAAACAAAAACGTCAAAGAATAACAGTGCTATTACCCTGGTCTCCCCAATTTCCACTTTGAAAACCTTGCCCAATTTTAATTTTTCTTTCAGTGAGGCAGAGGTTTCTGATACCCATAGTTTTTAATTAAAATTAATAGCGGTATAAACATTATCACTGTTGCTATCAACAGTATACATTTTTTGAAATTTATTTATTAATTTTTTTTTTCCATAGAGTGCCAAGCAACCTGTTTCAAAAACTCCTCTTACATATTCTCGAAAAGCGGAAGGAATTCGCGTGACAACTGGCGCTTCTGTACATCCCGGGGAGGTTAAGTCTCCATCGAAACTGAAGAAGACTGGCAGTTTATCAATGATGAGAGTCAAAAGCGTGGTACTTCGAATACTAGTACGTGGTACATTGGTTTATGGAAGAGAGACGGGGTTTGGATTTGGGTTAGTGCACAACAACTGAATATTTCGAAATGGCGAGATTCTGAGCCAGATGGTAACGACGCTTGCGCGGAAATATCCAAGAACGGAGGCCTCTTTAATAGTATATCTTGCTGTGATAAAAATGCCTACATTTGCGAGATGCTTGGAGGGAAGATCACATTCCAACCGTAAAGTAAATTATGTGCTGAAACATTAGTCTTGAACTTGTGTCATGAAAATTGCTCTCGCTTCTTAAAAGCAAAAATATTGTTTACAGAATATGCTCAGCTCACCTGAGCGATGAGTGAACTTTTCAGCGCGCATTCGTTGTTGAACATAATGCCCATGAAAATTTGAAGAACGTATGTTAAAAATAAAATTATAACAATCACTCTAAAATTGTACTTTTTTTGCATCGCTTGCAGCTGGAAGAGCAGCTATCGAATTTGTGCATTTCACAACTTTTTTGGGATAATCTATTTTCCCTCGTCACAAGTTGCAGGGCGTGTTCACTGAGGTCTATGAATACATGCATGTTGTTTTGTACCTAACACATCGAAATGCCTTTTTTGTGCCCGCATGTGTTTTTCTTGTAAGAGTTGGTGATAAATATGTTAATCACCGGCCGGGAGGTTCATATTGGGTAAGACTGTGCCCAAGGTTTTGAGTACCGGTACTTAAGACAAAGTGCACAATTTTTCTTACTACGGACTGACCGAGGTTTGCAAATAAAACTTTTTTTTTTTTTATTTTTAAATAAAACTTGACAAAATGTTTACAAAAGAACCCTAATGATTTAGGGCTGTAATTATGGCAAGATCCTCTATGAGCTGAACAATTTTAGAGCGAGTAAATGGTACCGGGCTAATGCAAATTAAAGAGAGGTTTCACCGAAATATTTTTATTTGTGATTGAAAAAGGTCAAAGGTTTCTAAACAAACTATGAAACATCTTTTTCACAAGTATCTGTCACAATCTAACACCTGTCAATAAGAGAGCGCGTAAGATGAAAAAGCGCTTGCACGCTAAAAAAGGAAAACACCCAGCACAACAACAACAGTACTGGTTTATTAAAGAAACTTGGGTTCAGTGACTGCCACGACAATTTTCTCTTCATAGACAGTCAATGATCTTAAGTTTTACTTGTGCCATTGACTACTGATGAACGAATATACCTCTGCTCAGTCAGTAAATGGAGATTGATTGTAAGTAAATTTAAATCTTTGTTTTGAAGTTGTGGGAGTTTGCTCGTTTGTTTGGTGCAATCGCGTATGTAAATCTGGTCTTTCATGAAAAGGGGAATTTTAATGCAGCTTTTTCTCATTCAAAACCTTCGTTTTCTGTTGTGAAATTTACGCCACGAGTGTGCAAATTGAGCGGACTTACAAAGACTTGCCGAAAGCTTATTTAAAGTATAAAACTGAAGATATCGGTCTCTGTTTTTCGATAAACAAATTGCTTGAGAGAATTCAGTTATAAAATGAATGAAAATTCCATTAATTAATTTGATTGTAAACAAATACCTCTCGTTCTAACTTCCTGAGTTACTTCTAATGAAGGTCTAGGTTAATTAGGGTCTGTTTTTAGGCCGCGTGTCAACCCATTTAATGACATGTTTGCTACCAAAAATCATTTCAAAACCTTTCTTTTTGCCGGCAGCCACAGTGACTTGAGAGAGAAGAAGAAGAGGATTAATAAGATGTTAATCTGCTTGATTTGCTTTAAAATTATTTGCTTAAAATTACTGTCCAGCTGGCAAACGAAATATACTTATGAAAAATGGCAACGAAGCTAGGGTTGTAGCCGGCGACTCGCGCAAGGGTTGCCGTGCCGCTGGGCAGAGATAGGAAAATCCGGAACGCATTAAGAACCTCTAAGATTGCAAGACTCGTAACCGTGCCTTCTGAGAAAAACAAATAATAAATACAGTTCTTTCGGGAAAGGCGTGTCAGAAGTGCAAGCGATAACCTTGAGCGTTATTGCGGGTAGCTTTCACGTCATGGCTAGACGACCTCGGGATTTCAGGGAAATCTGAGAGAATGTCACGTTAAGGACCGGGCATCACGGGTTTGCACCTATTTTTAAGACGAGACTGACTTTGAATTCTAAACTGCATGAAAAACAGAAAAAAGTACAAGTTAATCCTTACTAATTCATCCTTAATTAATTTTTATTTCCATGTTGATTACCACCACCCAGATAATATTTTGAGATTGTCGCGTGCACTTTAAATTTTTGTCTTCATTTTTCCCACAATCTTTCCCATAACAACTGTATACGGTTAACTGGGTATCTCCAGTTGCACATTGATGAGAACTTACATTCACATTTAGTTTTATGATTTTTAAGTCTGTTCAGATGGGGGAGGAAGAATAGGGGGCGGGGTGATGGGAGGTGTCAGCTCAACGAGGAACTAATAAATTTTCAAAAACTCGACTACTGGGAAATTACATGAACTCACAGATAATCTTAGCTGATGTGAAGTTAACTAACTCAGAAAGGCAGGTCAGAGATGGCGGACGCCGTAAGGAAGAAATATGTATAGTATTAATTGACAATGATCAAACATAAACTGGAGGTGTTGGAAAAATAGGAATTATATGAAAAATAGGAATTATATGAAAAATAGGAATTATATGAAAAATAGGAATTATATGAAAAATAGGAATTATATGAAAAATAGGAATTATGTGAAAAATAGGAATTATATGAAAAATAAGTTCCGTTTTCTTTCTCATTTATTTTTCTCCTTCATTGTGATTGTGATTTTAATCTTTTTATGTCACCGTCATTATCATAACTTATCACTTTGTTTATCATCATGATGATAATTAGTATTTTTGTTTTCATTTTTATCATTTTTTAGAATGTCTAAATATAACTTTTAAAAACTCTTGGGACATAATTTCGGTGCATGGACGGTACAAGGCCTGGAAATGGCACAGGAACTGGCTCTGGGATAAAGAAACCTGCCAAAACCAAGGAGGGGACCTAGTTTCCATTGAAACCGAACAAGAATGGAATTTCATCAATGACCAGATTCAAAGGCGAAATACTACGCACTATGAAAATAAATGGAGTATTGGTTTAACAAAAAAGGCCGGTAATTGGACTTGGGTGAATGGAAGAGCGCTGACAATTGCAAAGAAATATCAGTCCAATTGCTTTTTTAGATAACAACGTGTGATGACGTGAAGTGCGTTATCTTTTGTGAAGAGCCAGGGACTCATGTCTGTTGAGATACATGCCAATTATCGTTTTATAAAACGAATACGAAAGACTTGCAGAGTTATTTTTTTCTTTGCATAGCGGAATCCATTCAGTGTTTATTCCATTTTATTTAAATATCCGATTGTTTGAATTGTAAAGTTGTAGGTGCTAATTTCAATGCAATGGAAAATGTGCAGTGGACATAATAAACTAATTATAGTATGGCTGACATTTCGGTCGGCCTAACAAATATTACTCTATAGAGAGGTTAGTAAAGGTTACCTCAGCTCTCGTATGTCACCGGAGGGCGTAGATACATTTTCTTGTTTCAAAAATGGTCAGAACCGATTTGGAATTTTATTGATGTCCCGCTTACCAGAAAGATAAACATAATAATGCGTAGAATGCAAGAGTTGTTATTTTGGCTGGGAGGGTTGCGGTGAGACACTTTGTGTTCTTAACTTTTTCAGTTTTGTAACAGAAAAAGAGCATAACTTTTAAAATAGCGAAAATACCGCATTGATTCTCCTTGAAAGAAAGAAAAAAAAACTTATTTATCTGATCCCACACAGGTATTTTGTGGTCTACTGTCTCTATTGTATAACAAAACTTCTGAGCGAAAATAAAATACATCGGTGCCACTCTTACCTTTGTGTCCTTCGCAGCTGTTGTTTGGTCTTGTCAAACAACGCTCTCTATTCCCAGTTCGAGTGAGAGTGGGTTGCGTTACGTGACCAAATAACTGTTGCAAAACAGACTACCCTTACTGCCGTTCCTCTGACAGAGAGAAAGTTAACATTATCCATCTACAGTTAGCTGCCTCAAAAATATAATTCCTCGTAACTTTACTACGAAAAGCAAAATGAAACTCTGTCGTATCTCCAATAGACCCTAACCAAGGATATAATGCGATCTCGAATAAGTGAAGATACATTGATCAAGAGAAAATGATTATTGTATTCCAAAGAGGGTTCCTTGATTGGTTTTTGTCTCTCTGGCATTTCACCCCCGAATTAACACGCGATGGGATTAAGTGCAAGGTAGCTAAAAGCGACTTTTATTCGTAGAAAAAGTCAAAACGTGGGAGAATTGCGTTGAAAATTTACTATCAGTAGCATTTAGTTCCGTGTGAAATTTTTTAAGTGGTGTTGGATAATGCGGTTCCAATACGTGATAAAATGCAGGTTATTTACAGGGAAATGACGCTTGATGGAGTGAAGTCTAATGAGGCAAAATCAAATTTGGTTGGTGGAATACAATTCAAGCGCCTGTAAAAATTGCCAAATGTTCATGGAGAGCAATGATTGGGTACCTTCTGATTGGACTTTGAACGTTGATGAAAATGTATTTACATTTGGCCGAACTAAACTGTAAATGGCAGTGAAAGAGAATGTAAATATTTTCCTATCGGCATGTGAGCACGTGAGCCGCTATGGCGTTAATTGCGTTTTTCGTTGTGGGGCGTATATATGGTTTGACTTTTGTAATGCATTCATCTTAACTTTTCCAGCCTTATTTTACGTTTTTTATTGCGTGTAATTTAGCCTGGTTAACCTCCAACCCCCAGAGGTCGGTGCGCCTACATTTGGATGGGGAATAAGTTCCCATTTTTCCCACTAGGTCTTTTGGGTTTTCGTATCACGCAGCGGCACACAAAATATTTTTAGCCCGAGAGATGATTCAGTTGTAACTAGTTGTTTTCCGTTCTCTACATTTTTTTTCGGACGGCACTCGGGCTCTTAGTTCGAGCTGCGCTTCCACTCTTGCGTATGAGTCGTGAATTAAGATGTTGGTAGTGGGTTGTTTGGTCTGTGCGTTGTAAGCAAAGGAGCGGGAAAAACACGCTTACACTTTAAAATGATACAAATTAAATGCAAACCTTTCATATCCCTCATGCTCGATGTAATCGAGACTTTGCCGGTGCTTAATGTAATCGACGATTGAATGGTGTAAGCAAATGCACATAGAAATTAACACCGGCGAGTATCACCATCAAGCCAATAGCTAAGTAGTAAACCACTTTTCCAACTATTGTATCAATTACCAAAAGCCATTGCTTATTAGTCTTTTCCTCTTGCAGTAGTGTCAACAAAAGGGATGTTCGCGGTATTTGTAGTATATTCCAATAGTGTCCATTAGCATAGCACACTGCA